AAGGTACGGCATATGTGTACTCATATATCCATGCAGCATCACGGCCGCTTCATACCAATCCCTTCGCTTCATAATTTGCTTAGCAAATGAATGAATTAGAGCGTCAGGAACGGTCGTCCATTTGTGGGCGGGCGGGCGTTTGGGTCGGAATGTTGTGGCTTGATAGGGCCCTTATTAGGGCACCTTCCTTGGAAAAGGCATTACAAGCTACATAGGGTCGCGGAATTTGGCAGGCTTATTAATCCTACTCGTCTCGGGGGATTTATCGTGCCAACTGCCTTTAAGCGATTACACCTCTCTTATCAGTGGCCCCTCCCCTCTCTGGTGTTTTTTTTCGAGACGCACCATTGCGAAGCCATCGGGTAATGTATGTAGCTACTTTCGTGCGAGAATTGTCGGGGAAAACTGCGCAATACTATTTGGACCAACATAGTAGGCTTGCAGTTTGTTACACATTTCTCTTTCGCTATGTGATGTGCAGTTTTTAGCGCCGCCGAATGGAGGGCTAAACTTGTTAAAGACGTTGAATGAGTTACGGACGCCAAACCAAGAAAGGCAGCGTCACGTCACTTTTGTTGTGATGAACGTGTGAAACCTAGCCACGCGAAGGCGTGCTCTACAGCGTCTTCCATAAATGTGATTAAGAAGTTAACGAGTCGGTTGCAACACCCGCTACTAGTATACGCGCTGGCGCAGGTTGTTACTACTCTAAAATGTAGTAAGGGCTTAGTTTCGCAACGTTTATTGCAAGTTCTGAGTGGAGATCGTTACGTACAGTCGTGAACCTTGTAAACGATAGGTCGTGTGACGGGGGGGGGGGTGGCATGGAGCGCAGTCAGACAGATTTCGCACCAGTTGTAGTGGGCTCAGGATGTCATCACTAGTGGGAAATGGTCACCCATGCCTCTGCACACGCCCTATCGTTTGCAGGGGCTTCATTACAGGGTGGGATCATGACATTCCGGTGCCGCAACGAACGCGTTGCATGCAATGTGTGACATTCGCACCAGAACCTAATCGGTTTAACATCAAAAATACGAAATAATGCGAAGTCATTTCGCGCGAAAATGCTAGTTATAACTTCCATACACGGAGCTTTTGAGTAGATGAAGCTATTCCCTAGTTCGAAGGAATAGTACGTCTCGAGGCGTAACAAATAGGTCATATAAGTTGAAAAAGCTCAGCGCTAACATTAACCCACAAATTAGAATAAACAGTCCAGAGAATCCTCCCGTGGGTTGAACAAAATCTCTCCAGATAGTGGGCGTAGGAACTAAGTCTGATGGTCCTGCTCCTTGACCCAACATAGGGCTCCTTCACCCAAGTTAGATGAACCACAGTCGTTGTCGCTGAACTCAGTCATTTTGTGTCAGGGACATGGGTTTGGAGTGGCGCTAGTCCGTCTTCCGTCGATCGTTTGAGAGTGCTAGGAAGGAGGCTGGCGCCGCGCCAAACCTCACTTTCTTATGACACGACCAGACTGACTTCACTGTCAACGACTGTAGTCGAGAGGGACGAGGCTTGAACAAGGTTTGACGCAGCTGGGATAAAAGGTTTCTCGGGTCTTGAGTTTCCTTGCAGGACGTTGACTTTACTGCAAAGGTTGCAGTGTGGGCTAAAGCAGCGCATTCGCTTAGAGGCTGAAGGAAAAGGTGAGGGAAAGCCCCGTGGCACACGGCAATTTTTTTTGCGACCGAGTTTTATTTTTTCGTTTCACGGCCGATCCCTGGAACAGATGCGTGACGTTCAGCGATATGGCGTGGAGGAGAGTTCATAAAAAATATTACTTCCGGAGCGGAGCCCATTGTGTTTTTCACGGCTAAAATAGCTGGAGAGGCAGTTGAAAAACCAGTATACGCTCATTTTCTCTCCATCTGCACCTCAAAAGCTATAATTGATTCCGAGAAGCTATTGAGGGGCAAAGTCTTGTGTAGAGGGAACATGCTAGTAGAAGCGGCCTAGTTTTGCTGTAGAATGCCTCCATAGCTCCCCTTTTTATTAGTATAGAATTTTTTGTAGCAATTTTTATGTTGAAAATTGTGCTATTCAGGGTAACGAGCCGTGCAATGGTGTCCGCAATCCATTCATCATAGCTCTATCGTTGCTGTTGAGCTTGACGGCGTTGTTCTTCCAGTAGATCAATCTTACTGTACTAACCCGAAAATTCTTCGTCTAGGAATTTGAGAATCTTCTCTTACAGTGATTTTGCTACCTTGTTAAATAATAATGCTCTCAATTTTATTGACAGATCAGGTCATATGACAAATGTTTGAAGTGCCCGTTCTATGCATTTGTTATCTAGCGTTATTCCTTAGGCGATTTTCGTATTGTCGATAGTACTAGTTTCCTTTTCTAGCATTTACTTGTTACAGTCAGAAGAGTTGATCAATTTATGAATGTCGATAGAGTGTATCTTCTCGATAATCGGTTTTTCGGTGTAATAGTTGAAATTGAATCATTTATAAATAATTTGTAATAAAACAATGACAAAATCAGTCTTTTTGTCTTCAGAAGAACTTCCAGCGCTGATCGTGTGGGGTGGAATCACTTGGCGAAGGTACCCTATTTATTGAGAGTTTCCTTTTAGGCTGACAAGGACGAGGAGCGCGCCAACGAAAGCATCCACGACTATGTGGCTCCAACCAATCAAACAAGTCGGACCTTAATTTATGGACTAGTGTTCATCTATGAAACAA